AGAAAAGTGGCTTCCAATCTCTGCTCACCCAATTCCCATTCTACTCACTCCCTCCCCTTTCCTGCTCCCATTGCAGCTTGTTTCAATTTGGCTTTTCTGGGCCTGCCTGTCTCTTGATCTTTCAACTGTACACCTGTCACAAACTGACGTGTTCTCTTCCTGTTTCTTAGTTCCCATGCTGATCTGGACTGAATGTTTGTGTCTGTCCAAAATTCATGTGTTGAAGCCCTAACTTCCCAGGGTAAAGATATTTGGGTGGGGCTTTTAGGAGTAGATTAGTTCAGATGAGATCATAAAGGTGGGGCCCCATGATGTGATTGATTAGTGCCCTTATAAAAGGAGTCAGGGAAACTGGAGCATAGGCAGTCGCTCTCTCTGTGTCTCTTTCTTCCTCTGTCTCTGCCATGTTTGGACATAGCTAGCTGTCTGACTGAGAGCAGGAAGGGAGTCCTCACCTAGAATTGAATTTGTTGGCATCTTGATATTGAACTTCCAGTCTCCAGACCATGAGAAGCAAATATCTGTAGCCATTTAGTTTCTGGTGTTTTGTTAGAACAGTCTAAAAGCTGAGTAAGATACGTGCCTCTAGAGAGATTCTGAGTGTCTCAGGCCCCCCTGTGAGGCAGGCTCTAGGACAGACCTTGTGAGGGTCACACCAGAGATCTCAGCTGGACATGTGAACCCCTGCCCCCAGTCTTGTGTTCGACATGCATGCACATTTGTGTTGTATTTTAATAGGGAGTGGTGCTGAACTCCCTCTGTAATGGTGGCATCTGAAGCTTACCTGCAGGCTACGGAGTCTCCCCAGGGCTTCTCAAAATACAGCAAAGAGGGTTCCCTGAGTCTTCTGAGATGCAGCTCCTGCCAGGTGAGGGACTAAGTGGATTTTAGAGAGGAGCTCAGCAGTCCTCCAGGGCAAGCACAGCTGGTGGCAAGAGGCTTGTTCTGCATTGCAGGATTGGTGTGTTTGTGGAGGGAACAGTCCTAACATCTCAGGATACTCACCACTGTCCGCACACCTGGAGGCCAGGAGTGCAATGGACTTAGGCTTGTCGTCTGCTTGCTTACCTTGCAGAGGCATGTGCTGCTTCGTGGTGAGTCGGGGGCAACCAACAGAGGGCACGAGCCTCTCCTGTGCTGAGCCTGTTCCAACGCAGCGATGTAAAAGCCCTCCTCAGGTGTAAAGGAGTCCCCCTGCTCCTGTATCTGAAATTTTAAGTACCACTCAGGTCTGGTTTCAAGTCTGGTAATAAACCAAAAATCTTTCTCACCATTTCACAGACTGGGTCTCCCCGGTGAATTTCAAGTTGGCGCAGTTAGCTGAGCACCCGTGTGTTCCAGGATCTGAAGTGGGTAGGGGCCATTCAGTCCACCAGCTCCATGGCTTCTTGTTCCCCTTTGTTGGATCACAGCTGTTTCGGCATCCCTTGCTGCACCAGAAAGCTTGATGGCAGCGGGATGTGGAAATAAAAGTCACACATGTTTGAAAGCTGATATTGACTAAGCTCTAACATACAGGGCTATAAATTTTTAAAAGTCATTGATGGGGAGGAACTTGTTTACTTAAATCTTCTATTCTGCCCATTTTAAAGAAAGTTGTTCTCAGCACAGTTTATATGTGTTTCAGGTTCCAAAACAAACAGAACCGAGTTTCAGATTACCCGCAATAAGTAAAGCATGTGGCACTTAATGAAAATTTATGTTAACTAGGAAAATAGGCAGTAAAGGGTGAAAGGGCAAAAACAACACCTAGCAGCAATGACGTCACCTCCCGGTATGGCTCTGCTGAGTCTTCTGAAGGATTAAAAAAAAAAATAGAATTGACAGTATTAGCCCTCTAAAAACAACTAAGGGAGATACGATGTAACTCAGAAAATTTCAGCAGTCCTCCCTTATCCATGGGGAATGGGTTCCTACACCCCAGTGGATGCCTGAAGCCACAGGTTTAGAAGTGTAGGTGCACTGTACGTACCTACCTATAATAAAGTTTAATTTGTAAGTTAGGCACAGTAAGAGATAAACAACAACAATAATAATGATTATTATGACAATATACTGTGATAAAAGTTATCTGAATGTGGTATCTCTCAGAATATCTTATTGTATCATACTCATCTTGTGATAATATGAGATGACACAATGCCTATGTGACGAGATGAAGTGAGGTACATGACGTAGGCATTGTGAGATAGTGTTAGGATACTACTTGAACACAAGCATTGTGATAACTCAAAAGTTGATCTACAACTAAGATGGCTACTGAGTAATTAATGGGCAGGTAGGATATACAGTGTAGATACACTGGAGAAAGGGAAGATTCATGTCCTGGGCAGAACTAAGTGGGACTGTGGATTTTTGATGCTACTCAGAGTGAAGTGCAATTTAAACATTATTAATTGTTTATTTCTAGAACTTTCCATTCAATATTCTTGAACACCAGTTAACCGTGGTGGAAAGTGAAACTGAGGATGAGGAAGGACTATTGTAAATAGCATTAAAGTCTTTAAGTGGCATTTTAAAAGAGAACAATAGAAAAACTATTCCATGCAATCCTGGGCTAATTGCCAAAGCTATTCCATCAAAAATTATTGCTCTGCATTTAAAGGGGAGAATCATTACTATAGGTTGTGATGGTCAGAGAAGTAGGACTGCACCACGGGGGTATATAAGAAGTTGAGAGGGGACAGAAAGAGAGGTCTTTATAGGCAGAGGGCAAGAAAAGGAAAATTGATGTAATCAGAAGCAGAAATTATAAAGGCATGATGGGTAAAACTTGGGCATTTATGTTTAATATTTTACAAATACTCTGATAGAAATAGGAGGAGAAAGTCTATTCTGCAGTTTGAGTGTTTTAATAACTAACAATCTAGTCTGACTGCAGAAGGGTTTTAATGCATATTTTATTATAAAACTTCAAATAGAATATTATAAACAGCTATTCCATGATAAAAACTATAAAACCATAAGAATTTTAAAGACCAACTCTTAATACTGTTTCTCTGATAAGAGGTTTTATGTCAAGTCTTTTTTTTTTTTAAATCATAGAAGGAAATGCCCAAAGTGGTTTGAAATACTTCACATGGGAAGGCTTCTCAGTGAGAAAACATTTATATAATTACACTCACGCTTGCATCACTTCATACTCTACATTTTACTAGAAGAAAACCTTCTCCAAACCTCCCAGTCCCAAAACAAAACTTTAGAATGTTACCTTCAGCTAGGAAAGTTGATAGCTTTAAACCAAGGGCATTGTGTTGGCTTATGAAGGGTCAAGGGATGAAGTGTGGCTGCTTTTTATTCATCCAGGTAAAACTGGCTCCTAGTAAAGAAGATTCTCAAAGGCCACAGAACATGCTTGTCACCCTGACCCTAAGGTACTGACCTTCTTTCTCCCTGGTAACTTTGCCAATGGTGCACACACAGCTTACCAGCACTATAAAGTAAAAAACACAAACAGGGCTCTGATGTGACTGTAACTGCCCTCTTGGTATCTCTAGAAACTTCTGGGCTTGCTAGTCTAGCACAGAGATGACTCAGTGGGGTTCAACTAAATATCCAGAAGGCATTTGGACAATTTTCCCCAAAGCTGAGCCTGGTCAGCTTCAGAGCTATGCCCTGGCCCTGCCCTTTTAGGAGGGCACAGATCACTGTTTTACAAAGCCCATTGAAATGTAAGCCCATAGCCAGAAAAAGTTCCCCTCTGACTGCTGAATATGCCCCATTGTGGGTCTGTATAGGCTTCGCTCCCTGTGGGTAGTCTGTAAAAGGCCTGTTTGTATATGTTAATTGAAAGGATTTAAGTGTGACTGAGTTGCTGGTTATGGGGAAGTAAGGATGAAAAGCAAGATTTTCCAGGGCCCAACCCAAGGAGGCTAGAGGTTTGACACCCACATATTTGTGGAAGAAGATGGGGAGAGGTGAAAGGAGCAACAAGAGACAGGCCAGGAAAGGGTGGAGAAGTGGAAGGGCCAGTTTGAGGAGGCCCCTGGTAAGTGGTGGACAGATACGAACAGTGGGAACATGAGGTTGGAGATGGTTCTGTGAACTGGACCCACTGTGCTGATCCCCACATCGTTCCTTTTGCAGGACTATCTGCTTGAGGCCACTCTGGCCCTACCTGGCTTAAATCAATAGGATGTTACAACCCTCAGCAAACAACCTGCTATCTGCAGAAAAAATGCAGACTGAAGACTCCTCATTGCCAATAAGAACAGAAGTTTCCCAAAAAGGTGGGGGTGAGCGGAGATCTTTTGTGACCTTTACACAGACCAAGTTCTAGGACTCAGGGAGACAAGATAATTAGAAGCAAAGCCCCTCCAAAATCTGTAAGAATAAGTTCCAATTAGAACTGGTCAGTGTGGGCCAAAGGGACTCAGAGTTTCCTTGGATCTTTAGCATGTTATTATAATAGAAAGGGTCTCCCTTCCATGGGGTAAGGCCATGTGCAGTGGAGACTTGAAAGTTAGATGCAGCCAACTGTCAGTCAAGAGGTGAACCTGGGTGGAACTCTCTGGAAATTTCCCTGGGATCTCCAATAAAACAGGCAGACAAGAGGGGCATGCCACCCTTCTCTGAGAGGACTCACTCTCTCTTTTTCTCCCTTGAGAGTATTCCCTGGGTCCCTTTTCCTATCCCTTCTAATAAACTCATGCCTGTTATCCTGAGCAACTTTGAAATCCTTTCGGTGTGGTTGCAAAGAGCCAGGGACCAAAGATCTCTGTGGTCACTTCAGCTCCACCGCTGGCCTTGCTGTGCAGAAGCCGCCAGTGGAGATGGGGGAGGTGAGGGAGGGGAAGAAGAACTGGGTCAGGCTGACAGACAGGTACAAGACGGCTCTGGGAAGCAGGGTTTGTCCATGCCCCACCTGGAGTCTTCCCTCCTCTTCCTAAGACACCCAGTGCCCCCTGCTTCAGTGTGGCAACCGTGGCTTTAGTTTTCTGTATTCCGGTGCTTTGACCTCAGGGACCTTGCTCCCAGGGTCGGCCAATTCCTCAGGATAGTAATGAACAACCCAAGCAGTCTGGAGTCCACACTCCACCGACCTCCTTTATCGGGCTCTCATACTCTGGACCACTTTGCATCTGCCCTAATCACCCAGGGCCAGGTACCAGACAACTAAGGAACAGACTGCCTCTCTATTCCAGAGCCCACTGAAACTACTGACTCTCCAATCTTAACAGCTAATTTGCCTCTCCAGTCTCTTTCCAATAAAATCTTTTGCCCACAGTCCCGCCATCTGCTCCTTGACTGACCCCCTGACTTTCCAGGGAATGGAGTGCCCCTCCTGGAAACTTGGGAACTGTGAGACTCAAACAATTTTTCCAATGGCAATCTTCTAATGATCTGTTGGTCTTCCCATACCTCAACAACAACATAATCCAATTAACCATGCAGATTCCCCCCGCCCAAAACCCCTTCTGAGCCAGTGTTCTACCTATGGCAGGTTCCCACATTCTTAGATCACTCCCTCCTGCCAGTATTCTCCTCTTCATCTAGCTGATAAGTAAAACAGTTAAGTGCAAGTGAACAGAAAATTAAAATATAACTGGGAGTTAATGGGCAGCAAAAGAACCTAATGTTGTCTTGGAATTACATATTTAAGGCTCAAGTGAACCCTGAAAAATCTATTTTCTTAGGCATCCAATGTTTGCTTTGGAAATAGAAACTCAATGAAATTAAGAACTGGATTTGAGGTCTCTTGGCCTAGAAAGATGCAGGCCACAATTGGACTGGACTTATGTTCCAGTCTTAAGAGTTGCAAGGACAAGAAAAATCTAAGACTTACTGAGTGACTACCATGTGCTCAGACTATTCCAAGACTTTATCACTCATTTAATATTCTGACAAAATTATGAGGAAAATGCTTTTATTTCCATTTTAAACATAGGTAGACTGAGATACACAGATGATAAGGAACTTATTTATGTTCTCACAGCTAGCTAAATGGCAGAGAGAAGATTCAAATCCAAGCAATGTGGCTCCAGAGTCTATGCTTACTCACTGCTCTGTCTAGTCTAGGGGAAAGGGATCTTTTCAGGGAGTCAGGCAATACCTATTTGTGGCTGTACCAATGACTAATTGTGTGACGTGGGTTAGTAACTTGACATGTATGATACCTGTAATATGACGGTGATAATTCCTACCCACTTTACCCATATCTTCCATAAGAATGACAATATAATTGTTATGAAGGTTAAATAAGACAATGATTACAAAGACACTGAGCACTATGTCTGGTAAAAATAAATGAGTGGTAGATAAATATCAGTGTCCTTTTCTATTCCTAAGCATTGGGATAGCTGGTTATTACACAATTATTCTGCAGTGGTTTTTTTCCATAACTGCCCATACCTGAATTATTCTCTATGGGTGGAGTCAAGATACTGGAAAA